GTTTGCTTTTAAATAAAGAATAAAAAATAAAAAAAGATAAATATAGATAAAGTAGAATTAAAATAGAATAGAAAGTGTTAGAGTTAGAGGGTCAAATAAAGTTGGAACAGATGTGTTTTTAGTCGTTTCCTGAAGATGGTTAAGGTCATTCCACCAGGAAAGAACAGTTAATGAAAAAGTCTGTGAAAGTGATTTTTGTGCCTCTTTTAGATGGCACAATAATATGCCGTTCACTTGCAGAACGCAAGCTTCTAGAGGGCACATAACTCTGAAGTAGTTATGAACTATGCCTATATATGTTAACTGTTCAAACATTTGGGGTCTGTAAGTTTTTATTTTATTTATTTAAAATTTCTTTCACCAGTGGTACACTTAATTGTTCAAAAACACAGCAAAAAATAAATAAATTCTACTTTATTGTATCTTACAATGTTATTTATTGCTGTGAAGTTGAATTATCGCAGCCATTATTTCAGTCTTCAGTGTCACATGATCTTTCATAAATTATTCTAATATTCTGATTTGCAGCTCAATAAACATTTCTTATTATTAGCAATGTTGAAAACAATCATGCTCCTTCATATTTTTTGTAGAAACTGTGACACATCATTTTTTTTATTTCTTTGAAATTGATTTAATAGGATGTTCAGAAGAATGGCATTTACTTGAAATAGAAATCTTTCATAACTTTATAAATGTTTTAATATATCTGTTGGTTGATTTATTGTATCCTTGCTGATTTAAAGTATTAATTTCTTAAAAAAATTACTGACCCCAAACTTTTAATTTAATTTAATTTAATTGTTTAAGTATTTTTGTATTTTTAATGGAAGACAGCCTGCAGTTCCAGTTATCCACCTATGAAGCCTTCCCTATACTGATTATAACTACAACATTACAACATTATAATAAGCTCTTTTCTTTATTAATGTCTCATTTTAATGTACCAGAATCACATGCAGATATCTGTTTAGTCCACTCCTAAATTATTCTGTAATGTGAGCCTTGTTTGTGAATATATTGTCACAACATAACTTTAAACTTAAAAAAGCCTAGAATATCAACGATCCCCTGTTCAGTTCGAGTCAGTTCAGTGTTAATAAATCTCTACTCACCAGCCTGCTCTGTGCTGACGGTGATATTGGCAAGCTGTCTCTCAGATCTGCCCAAGCCTGACACTCCATTCAGAGCCTCAATTTGGAATGTGTAGTTGGCATGCGCCACAAAGTCCTGGACCACCACAGAGGTGCTTGTGAGGCCTGTGGATCTGGGTATGACGCGCACATTGCTGTTGCATGGCTCACAAGCCTGGCCATCAGCTCCACATCGGAAACAGAAGACATTATAGGTTACATCCTTCCGACCACCTGTGTCGCTGGGCGGAGTCCACTCCAGAAAGAGGGTGGTCTCATTGATGTTAAAAACCAAGTTTCGAGGAGAGGAGGGCAGACCTGAAAGGAGAGAGACACCTGACTCATTAGCAACCAGAATTATCATGCTGACAGAAATCCATCTGTGAGAGGGGAAAAAAACACCTATTTGAGCAAAATATTATGCAGATTAAGAATTTTTTATCTTTTTTCCGCTCTCTCAAAAATGGTGCATATGCATTAACTAATGAATCCTTTTAATGCCTTAAAAACCACTCGAGAGCATTTGCCATCTCCCTTTCACTCCCTCCCTCTGGTTTCGCTGATATACAAATGTCTCTGCTCTAGTACCCTGGTTCTGCTTCCTATAGAATGCCGGCTCAGAGCCAGATACAGGGAAGTCTGCGTTTATCTGCTGTTTCCCAGACCCAGCTAATGATGATAATGAGAATATGTCCTAGACATGATTATCATAGTTAATGATAATTGCACCCACTCGTGAATAACAAGGAAGTAATTATTCCTCCTCTCCTGTTTTTAATGCAGATTGCTGCTGGTGTTGAAAAGATTGAGTTTGGTGAATAATTTGGGTAAGCGCGATGGGGGGCAGAAGAAGGGAAAGGGAAGAGGGTGATGAAGCAGAAGACTGAAATAACTGGAATTCTGATCGATAGAATCAGAAACAATAAGAGTAGAAATGAGAATGAGAATGATGAGCGAGAACATGTATGCTCATTATCACTATTTTTGGCACATTTAGTCTTATTGTTCATCTTTAGTTTATCTTTCTTCATTACTTTCTCAATTATTAATATTTATTTAATTAGTTCCTTTTAATTTAAATCTCTTGATTACTTTTTTGTTCTGCACTGGTACTGAATTTTATCTTATTTTATATATTTATTTCTCCCTTGGGAAACTGAAACTGGTGCACTGAAAACATTCACATCTCCTTTATCACACCGCTGACTCATTCACTCTCACTTCATACAAATGCAGCTGGAATCTTCTTGTGTCACAGTTATAGATGCTATTGAAAATGACCCGGGAGAACTTCAATATTAAAATCATTGCAATATAGTTTTAGTGTTCGTCTTGTTGCGAGGATGATCAGATCACACTCTGATATTACAGGATAGACTCTAGCTTGTGTGAAATTGCTTAAAGGAATAGTTCATGAGTTTGTTTATTCATATATTTTTGGAGAAATTCAGAATTGCATCACTTGCTCAGATCCTCTGCAGTGAATGGGTGCCGTCAGAATGAGTCCAAAAGGTTGATACAAACTTCACAATGATCCACAAGTTATCCACACCAATGCAGTCTATCAATTAAAATCTTGTGAAGCCACAAGCTGTGTGTTTGTAAGAAACAAATCCATCATTAAGATGTATTTAACTTCAAACCATTGTATCTGACTAAATATAATGCTAATAATGCTTCCTTCAGGGAAAAAAGAAAAAAAATCCTCTGATGTCTTCTCACATCAAAATATTTTGTTTAGAACTGTTTTGGAATATTTTTCGCTTGTTTTTATCAGCTGTTTGGGCTCATTCTGATGGCACCCATTCACTGAAGAGGATCCACTGATGATGTAATGCTAAATTTCTCCAAATCTGTTCTGATGAACAAACTCATCTATATCTTTGGTGAACTATTCCTTTAAATATTATTTGGTGATTTAAACTATTTTTTAAAGTTGCCACCACTTTGGAAAAACAAATGTGCTGTTTTGTCATTGCATGTAAAGCACACTATAATTGAATCTGAAAAAAATATATATATAAATAAAATGGGAAATGAATGAAAACAGAGCAGTAGGCTGACTAACGTGTGCAGGCCATGGTGGGAGGGTCCTTGCTGGCTCTGTAGTAGTTTTTTTCGCAGTGACATTGTGCCGAACCCTCTGTGTGGCTGGAACTGTGTGGGGGACACTTTGAACATTTGATGTTTCCTGCAAAGGCTTTGTAGAACCCAGGTCTGCAGGCTGTGGAGAAAACATAAGAGAAAAGTTATGGCTGTGCGTTCCAGGATTTATTGATAATACAAATTTAATTGAATATTAAATTGAATGATACAGTATGCAAATTATTTAATCAAACGAACAGTTAATCAAATATATATATATATCCCTATTTGCTGTGGGAAATCACAAATGAAGAAGGCTTTAGAATAATAAAGGCTTTAAAATATGAATATATTATATTATTTATTATTTATAGGATAACACATATTCATTTTACCAAGTTTGGAGTCAGTAAGACTGTTTATTTTTTAATTATTATTATTTTATTTTATTTTTTATAAAAAAAAAGTTTATACAGTAATGATGCATTAAATTGATTAAAAGTGACAGTAAAGACATTTATAATGTTATATAAGATTTCTGTTTCAAATACTGTTTATGCTGATATATATTCTAAATGTTCTATTCTACAAATAGGCTAATCTTGAAAAAAAAATCATGGTTTCTACATAAATATCAAGCAGAATAGCTGTTTTCAACATTGTTAATAAAAAACATTTCTTGAGCAGCAAATCAGCATATTAAAATGACTTCTAAAGGATCATCTTACACTGAAGATTGGATGAATGGCTGCTGCAAAATCAGCTTTGCATCACAGAAAAAATATATATTTTAAAAAATGTAATAGCATTTTCACAATATTACTGATTTAATGTATTATTGCAAATAAATGCAGCCTTTGTAAGAATAATTGACTTATTTCAAAAACATGAATAATCCACTTTGCAATCATGTTCACACAAGACTCATTCTAGCATTCCCTATTTGACAAATTAAATATTTTATGTTATTTAAATATTATATTGTTGGTCTAAACTCACATGCAGACAAACATCCCTAAATGACCGGTTAAAATATGGACACGTATAAGACAGATAAAATGTGAGGTAATGTTTTCAATCTTTAACTACCCCATCAGTCTCCATGGAACTGGTAGCTTAAGAGATACATTAAAAGCTTCAGCTTCTCCCTCTCTCAGTCTCTCTCTTTCTCTCCAGTGTGCAGCCTCACTCATTTGAACTTTTCTATGCTCCAAACCATAGCAGCTCTTAAACACTCCCCGTCTTGGACTTAGACTCCACACTGAAAGACTCGCCAAGGCCCAGGAGAGCAGCCAGACGAGACTGAGTTAAGTGGTACACACACAAGCACACATACTTACACACATCATAGATGTAAGATAGCAGATCTCTTTCTGTAGTGTCTCTACCTCTCTCTCTCTCACACAAATACACACACTAGTTTTACTCTTATTTAAATTTGCTCCTCAGAGGTTGGTAAATCTCTACAGCCACAACATTACAGGCATTGATCTGTTTCTCTCTGACTCCAGACACCTTCTCCAGTAACAGGGCCATTCCCGGAGAGCTTCCCCAGCAGCCTTTCGTCCTTATTGTGATGCAGGGAAACAAGTTGTGTGCGCAGGACCTCTGTTAGCATCTTTTAAAATCGGTATAGGAGTTTGACAGCTTTCCTAGCAAGGAAAACAACCCCAACGTATAAATCATTAATGAGGGTTCTTACTTTTATTTAGATCTGTTGTAAACAAAGTCAACTTCTATTTCACGGAAATGGAGAGCATATATTATGGAAGTGCAAATACGACAAGCAGTCAAACAAATAAGCCACCAAACAGATCTGAGAAAAATTATCTTTCCTGATTTGCACATTAAAGTCAATGTGAAATGCGGATCGCAACTCATTTTATTTTCACAATAAGACATATTTTGAAGTGAAACAGGATATTGCATAGAAGAAAATGTAGAGTGGGTCTTTTGTCTTTTCGGAATTTATTGGAAAATTGTGCATTAAATTCCAGATGAGACAAGGTAGTTAAAAATGAAAAGTGGTTCAAGATGTCAACTGAAAAGGAACGACATTTTAAATAAAAAGCTATATTTTAAATAATTTTTTATGAAAAAAAAAAAAAAAAACATTCTAACATTTTTTTTTTAACCACTGAAGTTGTGAACTATAAGATAATGTCAGACAGTAGACAGTCCCCCCCCCCCCCCCCCCCCCCCCCAACCAAAAAAAAATATTAT